TATACATATATGTTTGGGGTTTTTTTTTACAGGATTTACTTGGAGTAAAAGATCACTGACTTCTACAATGGAAAAGTCATGGATGCTTTGGACCTTTGTTAAAAGATGGCTACTAGCTTTGGCTTCCTGGTCTTGGAGTCTTTGCCGTATTTGTCTTTTACCCTTGATAGTAACTTTTCACTTGTACGGAGGCATTATACTACTTATATTAATATTTGTATCAATAGCGGGTATATTATATAAATTCCAGGATGTGCTGCTTTACTTTCCTGAACAGCCCTCTTCATCACGCCTTTATGTTCCTATGCCTACTGGTATACCACATGAAAATATCTTCATCAAAACCAAAGATGGAGTTCTTCTCAATCTTATTCTGCTGAGATACACAGGGGACAATGCAGCGTATTCTCCGACCGTCATTTACTTTCATGGGAATGCAGGCAACATTGGCCACAGGTTGCCAAATGCTTTGTTAATGCTGGTAAACTTGAAAGTAAACTTAATTCTTGTCGATTATAGAGGGTATGGAAAAAGTGAAGGAGAAGCAAGTGAAGAAGGTTTGTACTTAGATTCTGAGGCTGTGTTAGACTATGTGATGACTCGGTCTGATCTCGATAAAACAAAAATTTTTCTTTTTGGCCGTTCCTTGGGGGGAGCAGTAGCTATTCACTTGGCTTCTGAAAATTCCCATAGGATTTCTGCCATCATGGTGGAGAACACCTTTCTTAGCATCCCATACATGGCCAGCACTTTGTTTTCTTTCTTTCCAATGAGATATCTTCCTTTATGGTGCTACAAAAATAAGTTTCTGTCCTACAGAAAAATCTCTCAGTGCAGAATGCCTTCTCTCTTCATCTCTGGGTTGTCTGACCAGTTAATTCCACCAGTTATGATGAAGCAACTTTATGAATTATCCCCAGCTCGGACTAAGAGATTGGCGATATTTCCTGATGGAACTCATAATGACACTTGGCAGTGCCAGGGTTATTTCACTGCACTTGAACAGTTCATCAAAGAAGTAATAAAGAGTCACTCCCCTGAAGAAATGGCGAAAACATCCTCTAACGTAACGATAATATAATTGATATTCTTCTTTGGGGTGGGGGGAGTACCTGCACTGTACCTTGATTTGTGAAAAGTGGTAAAAGAATGTCCATTTTTAAATGTATGTCATGTCTGTACTTGCCTAAAGAGTGAAATTAAACTTGGAAAGGTCTGATGCTTTATTAAGATGTTCCAGATTAACTTTTACATTTGCAGCATTGTAAATGAACCATTTTATGTCTTTCTCATACTTTTTTGGTATCTCTGTCCATATATTCCATTTGTTTGATATGTACAACGGATGCTATTAAAGAAACTTGCTACAAAAGTAGTACAGAATGTGTTAGTTTAGAATAACGGGAGGCTCTTCAGTATTCACTGCTGTATGTGTGAGCTTTTTGGACAGTCATGGTTAGCAAAATGATTTGTTGCTTCTCTTAGAGTTTATTTAAAGTGTGCCATGCATGAGATTAATGTTTTATTCCTTGAAATTTTATATTATGCAAGGTGGGAAGCCTTTAATGTGCTAAATAATATAAAATAACATTAATGGTAGAGTATACTTGCAAGTATACTATCCTGGGTTATTACTGGGTTTTATGGTTATGCATACATATATATTTCAAACTGCAAGTGGAGAGGAAAAGACACTTTCCCTGTTTTCATTTTACTATTTGTATTATAATAGTGCCTGGAAAGTTGTGTGTGTGCCTAAACATCATGGCTTCAGGATTTTGCCCAGGCAATTTCTTCACAGAAAATAGAAGTAACCTTCGAAAAGAGCAGTGCGATCTAAGCTTCTTTCTGCCCCAAGCTCTCCTCACTAATGTACGGGCAAACTATTTGTTGGTATTAGTCTGCTTGTTCATTTGAGGTGGGATTTCCCAAGGCAGGGTGGGTGATGTGGTAGAAAGGAGTATCTTACAAGGTAAAAGTATGTATTTGTGTTTGGTTTTGTTTGTTTGTTTGCTTAAGGCTGGTGTGTTAGACATTGCTAAATGTCTGTGCCCTTTATTTATACCTCCAAAAGAAACAAATCCAAATAATTACCAGTGATCACATCATTAGAGATTAACGTATACAGTTGCTACAGTAAGGATAATAAAAATGAGCAGCACATCAAATTTAGTAGACCTAAAGCTTAGTTAGTCTGAAAGAGTCGACATTTATTTTAACACTTTTACCCATTTGCTTGCAAGAAGTCTTTTACAGTTCTGTTGTACCATGTGGAAGTAGCTTAAGCGTCAGCAGAAGTGAGTTTTCTTCAGCTCTGCTGGGATTTTTGAAGCTAATATCACTATTTTAGAACGAGCAGTACTTAAATTGAAAGAGTTTGATTCTGGCTGACTGTTGAGGTTCTTTTTTTCTGTTTGGTTGGTTTTAGGACTCCTTATCCTAGGTAGTCGTATCAAAGTTGTATGCTGTTAGCTCAGTCCGTATTGGAGTGTGGGGCTGTTTAAATCGCTTCTGCAGGTTTAATTTCTCATTTGCTGCAGCTGATAGTTTGCCTTTTCAAAATATTTCTTTATGGGAAGAACGAACTGTGGAAAATCTTCCACACAATCTGTACAACTGCCCTTCGGATTGACATTTTTGAATAAACTTTTCTGCCATGTTGTCCTGATTCAGAAAAGCATCTCAGCACACACTTAAAATCTGTTTCCTGATGGACAGTGTATTTTAAGCTTGTGCTTAAGTTCTCTGGTTGAATAAAACTGCTTTCCTGAACTGGTGCCTTAATGGTTATGCCTCCTAAAATTTATTACATGGAATTACAGGTCTTACGTACACATGGGTAATAGTTGTCAGCAATTTATAGGTAGGGTGATACATCTTTACTTTACTTAAATGTGATTTTTTTTTTTTTATTTTTAAATAAACATGTACATACCAGAAGTTGCTGCTTTCTCTGGTAAGTATCTTTTGTCATACTATTTTTAAGGTTTTCTTAGAGTTGATTGAAAAAGCTACAGCTTTTTGGATCTATAGACCTAAAATCATTATAGACAGTGCATAGTTTTAAATCTGAGTGAAACCAAAACTATCTCCTCAGCCTTCCAGTGGTGGTATTTTTGGGGGAGGAGGCAGGTGGGGAAGGTATATTGGTGAAGTTTGGCTGGTGGGGGGGGTGTTTATATAGCAGAAGGGAGTTAATAGACATAGCATTCCCTTTCCCCGATGTATTCTAAAATGACAAGGTGAGCTGCCCTCATAGATTGTTTCAGCTACTTCACATTGCTTTAGAATTAAGATGGAGGGAGAGAAGAAAAATAAGTGGGCAAATACTGCTTTTCTAAAAATAAGTTGATAAAGCCAAAAGAATAGATTACTTATTGGAGACAGAATGAAAAAAAAGTAAGTAATTGTTTCAGAAGTTGTCATAACTTGTCATTAAATGCCACTGTTTTTTTCATAAAATGACGATGTCTAAAGTAACTTGGCTTTTTAGCCCACTTCCCACCAAAGACAAACAAAAACCTCAACCCAAAATATCCCCGGTATTCTGTGGCACTTATACAAAAATGAAGTATTCTCATTTTGGGCACACAGTTGGTAAGTCAAAGTCAAATGTGTGGCATTAGATTATGGAAATTTGGAGCTGTTCAGAGTGGACTGTATCTAAGCATTACTTTTGATTATTAGGCCGTATCTTTTCACTATATTGTCTGCAGGATATAAAGATGAAATTTTGTCTGATTTTGCAAGTATTGGGTATGAGAAGACACAATTGTCATATATGCATCCTTTACACTTAATGTGGTTTCTTCCGCATATGCACATTTTTGCTTCTCCCTTAATGGCCTGGGTGCATACACTTGTGAATGAATGTCTGTTATTATGCTATTTTTCATTGCATTGGCTATGAAATCCACTGAAAGAAAACAGGAAGGAAATTATTTTTTTAATCAAATATTTCACTGCTGTACATATGATCTTTTAAGGGAGGGAGAAGGGGGCAGAAACTCGTTCTGACAAGTCAAGACTTGTTTTTATTTTGTGGTCTGTGTGATGGAAACCCACAGTTACCTGCTGCTTAAAAGTAAACTGCAAGCAACATAGTAGTAATAACTTTAAATTGGCAAAAGGTGTATTATGATACTGTTGCATTTATTCCAGTTGATACCATGATATGTTTTCCCTTAACAGTTCTCCACTTGTGTATAGATGTTTCCCAAGTATTTGTCCTGTATATATAAATTTCTAGTTTGGGAAGAGGAAGTTGAGTTATTTTCACAGGTTTGTAAGAAAACCTCTTGGTTTAAATATGCTCATTAAGGGAATTGTCTCTTTTGTAAGAGGAACTTTAAGTTTAAACAAAGAAAAAGAAGAAAAGAACGGGGGGTCAGGAGTTGAACTGGAACAGCTGTAGCAGTAAAGTCCTTGTAAGAAAGCATCCAGTACAAGACCTTGTGTGCGCACATGTGTGTGTGGTTTTAATTAGTGGAAATACTTGAGGCTTCCCGCTAACCCAAGTTTACATTCCCAATATTTGTTTCTGAACTGTGAAATGCAGAGAGACAAGCTATGCTTTCATCTGAAGAAATGTTAACTGGTGTAGCTGCCCTCATGTCCATTTCTCAGGTAAAATTAGAAATAGAGCACAAATACGTTTGGTAGGCTACGGACAATCTCTCAGTTGAAGGGCAGATGGATTAGCTATACAAAATATGCATATCAGCATCTCTAAGCTAATCATTTGCGTCACGTTGGATGTTCACAGTGAAGAATGCAAGGCTGAATTGAGAGTCCAAGGTATGGTCTCTTCTATTAGCAAAAAGACGCAGACATACCTCCATTTGTATTTCATAATTCAATTCCTGAGAATTACATTTTTATTTTTGTTAATGACAGGTGATTTTGCTAGGGGCACTTCTGCCAAATACAAAATCAGTGCCTCTTGCATGTGCTGGGATCAGCATGATGTATCCCATTAAGAATAATTTACAATGCCATCCTGCTTGTATAATTTAGAGTAGAACCCCGCAGAAGTGTAAATACAGATAGCATATTCAAGTTCTAAATAGCACTTGTGTTTTGAATTCAGAAACAGTCATTGAATATATGAAGCAAGCTTTTTATTTGATTTTTCTTTAATATATAGTTAAAGCAAAAATGTCTTACAAAGTATTCTTTAGTTTTGTAGACAAAGCATAAATGTTACTGTATATGTGCTAATTGTGGCAAAGTTTTACATTCTCATTCTAGTCTGGTTTTTACAGTAAAATTAATTTTACAAAAAACACTTTTCTATTTTTATGTACTGACATATGCAATAAATTGATACATTAAAAGTGCTGTTAATGTCTTGTCCTAGTTTGTGGCCTGTCTTCGGTATGTGTACAGGGGTATTTTTGTATGCACGGTAACTGATGAACCTCAAGGTATCATTTTCAGTTGCTTCTTAAAACCAGAGCACATGGAATAGGCATCTGCATTGTTAGATGCGGCATTTGTGGAAAGCTATTACAGCAGGGAAAAACTATACTACAAATATCTGGTTTTAAGCTTTGTCACGTATCCTCACAGTCAGGAAGTGTTAGTAAGTAAACCTGATGTGTGGTAGCTGTCCATCACTTTCTAACATTCTGCATTTCAAAATGTTTCTATTATCTGGGGGACTGAGAGATGGTCCAAATTTTATGTCACTTAGGAAATATTTTTAAGTGTTTCTGACTAGTTTTACCACTTGTTGCTGGTAATGTTTGAAATGTCAATTTTTAAATGCTATAATGCCACTCTAGCAGGTTTATAGCTAATTCGTGTAGCTGCAGTGGGATACTTGGGCTGAAGCAATTTCTGCTTTCTTACAGAGAAATGCATAACTAGGCTTATATCACCTCTGCTCCCATCCTGCATAGTTAATGCAAAATACCCAGAAAGTAAGGATTTACTGCTGTCTCTTCTAAAGCTGCAAAATGTGTGTCCTCTCCTGGATTACTGCAAGGCTTACAGTTCAATTTTAACCCAATACTTAGGAAATAGGGTAGGGGGGTGGGTGGTACATTTTGAAACTTTATTCAAGATACCTATTAATTTTGAATGGAAAAAAAAAAAAGGTATTTCTAATTCTTGAAAAGGAAGCAATGAAAGTAAAGGAGCAACTCAGGTTTGGGTACTTCATGTGAATACTGCCTTTCTTGAATGAAAAGCAGTTTGCTGTCTTGTGAACTATGTCACTAAACCTTACTTGCGCAGTGCTACTCCGAAGAATACAAGTCTTACATTTGCTTTTTCTTATTTGAGAATTGATAAGCAGCTGGGCTACGAAGTGCACCATCTGTGTCCTGGAATGTCTTGTGATGTTATATTCATTTGCTTAGTAGGTATGTATAGGCCTTCGTATCAGATAGACAAAGGTGAAATATGCTATTTGAATTTCTCTCAGAATTTGCAAGTACTGCTTAAATCATAGTAAACATTCATAAGGGCATATGAACATCTAAGCTAAAATGCTAGAAATGAAACCTAAACCAAAGGCAGGGGACTCGCTGTCTGCTAAAAAGATCACGTATAAGTAGGTAAGGTTTTGAGAAAATACTGAACCATGGGCTAAACAAAAATTATTTGCTCTTGAAGATACTGAACGTGCCTGAGCTTTAAATCCTTTGTTGGACCCTATTCAGGGTCTTCAT